CTTTCTGACATCAGATATCTGGGATGTAAACAGCATATGTAAAACCCCACAAGACCTTGAAAGAAAACCTTAATTCTGACCTTTCCTTTCTATCAGGCGTCTGCTCCAATAGGGCCTCACTGAAAGGCTGGGGCTTAGGACAGCGACAGCTAGTTGTGAAGCAGCTTAAAATGTGATGGAAAAGAAGGAAATACTCTGGTGCTGTGACCTGAGCTCACACATCTATGCTTGGGTGATATGTGTGAGTTGTCAGTGTCTGGACATCATAGATGCATATTCCATATTGGAAGTTATGTAAGAAATACAGAAATTATAAGGGTGAGTTACACACGCATCCTGTTCCCCCCTTCCAATTTTTGTAAGATCCAAATTCACTCTAAGTCCAGTTCAGTAGTGGTATGAGAGTAGTTTCCCCATGACTTAGGTATTCCCATATTACTTCAAGATGGTTTGGATTGGCCTCATTTATCTATATAGCTAATTCCCAATATGGCCCCCTGCATGCAGATACTTATTTCTGCAGATCGGGGTTACATGGAAGGAAAAGAGATTATCCTGCACACTTGGGGCACGCCCCAGGTGTACAGAAAAATCTAAAAACTTAAAAAAAGGATACAGGGGATACTTAAATCCCCCCAAAAGTACAACAATTTTTTTGAGCATGTGACTGCCCTTAGCAATGGCTTTCCTAGTGACAAGGCCTTTGCAGGCTTATCCACTTTTGGGAAGCCGGGAGTGAAGAGGGACGGAAAGTGGCGGGGGGGGTTGGGGCTGCCCTGGCTCCGCCTCCCAGGCACTACCACCGCTGCCAGGCTCAAAGTTAGGGAAAAGAAAAAGAAGTGCGGGAGAAAGAAAGGGGGGGATTGGCTTGGGGGGGGGAGAGAGAGAGAGAAAGACCAAGAAAGAGGGATTGACTTGGTGGAGAATTGTAAAGAAAAAGATGGAGGGATTGGCTTGGGGAGAGAAAGAAAGGGGGAGAGGGGGGAGAGGAAAGGAAGCAAAGGTGGGGGAATGCCTCTTCCCTGCAAGTTTCTTGCAAGTCCCACCTTGTGTGAGTTTAATATCCAAACAGTCCTAGTGCTGTTTGGGAAGAAGCTACAGGATAGTGGATTCCAAGTTACTGTCACATAAGCTTAAAGTAAGCCTAATGGCTGGGTCTTTGATAAAAGGAACAGTGTGATTGATGCTTCTTCAGGTGCATGTCCCATGGTGCTCTTGTAATATAAGAAAAGCAAGATCATACTATGATCGCTTCCCATATTAATGTAGCCCTTCCTGTGTTCTTTCCCATATGCTGTGCTATGGGATGGGGGTACTAAGGAACAGCAACCACAGTACTCATAAGAAACAGCAATGAGTCATGGTGCACTGTTCTGAAAAGGTTCAGGGTATACTCACACACATGAAACAGCACATAGATGAAGCTGCTTTATATGGATCAGATTACTGTTTTTTCAAAGTCAGTACTGTCTTGTCTGAATGGCAGCAGCTCTACAAGGTCTCAGGTGGAAGTCTTTCACATCACCTACCCTCTGATGCTTTTAGCTGAAGATGCCAGGGATTGAACCTGGGAGCTTTTGCATGTGAAGCAGATGCTCTACCACTGAGCCGTGGCCCCTCACAGCTATGCAAGTACAACCACATTAAATTTAAGATTATATATACCCATCATGTGTGCATGTGTGCATGTGTGTGTACATCAGCCTGGTCATGAATAACTGACATGTCAAACCTGTCTTCTTATTGATATTGACAGAAAAAGTATCTACAATGATTTTGAAAAAAAAGTGTGAATGACACCATGTTCCTTAGCACAACCCATATTTTGACTTTATTGCATTCTAAATCCTATGGATTTAGAAAAACATCTATGGAATTGATTGGAAAATGCATTTAAATCCCTTACAACTGCTTTGAAATCTCAACCAGAGGCAATATGACTTTTACGTTCCTTATATTCACTGAAAGATCAGATATAAAATTTGGATACACATCTTTGATAAAAGGGTCTAAATCCCAAACTTGGCTTTGAAAAATCCCATCAATAACTAGCACATACATTTTAAAGACCTGTCTTCTAAAGAAAAAGAAACATTCACTCATTGATTTGTCTTCTTCATGGTTCCTTAAGATCTTTTTGAAAATTATTCCATAGTTATTAGCTGAAGATCTGAAGGAAGGAATGTATAAGTCGTATCAGCTAAATGGTCACGATGTTAAATCACAACAATCAGAACACATTGATTCTCCACAACCCCGATTCTTTGACATACCGACATTATGCCACATTGCCATTGAAGTTCCAGTTTCAAGCCCTTTTTGCATGATCTCGAGAGGAAGTCAGAACACATAACAAAAGGAAATCAGCACAAGCAATTTTGACACAGGCCTATTATCCTCCAACCTCCAGTCCTGCCCTTATCCCCACCATATTCTCTTCTGTGCTGGGAAAAAGGAAAGGTGATATTATAATTACTCAAATAGCAACAAGAACATTTGAAACAATCATGACATTCTAAACTAAGCAGGTGACAGACATTTATGGATTTCAACTCTTGTGTTTTGGAGAGCCAGCTCAAGTAATACATTTTACCACGTTGCCTCACATGACCTATCTCAGGGGTCTGCACCCTATGGCTCTGGAGCGAGGTGGGACTCCGTGTGGAACCAAATGTGGCTCTTGAAACCAGGCAGTCAAACCTTAAAGCTAAGGTATATTGGAGGAGTAGATGGAATGCTAGAGTAACCAGCATGTTAAAAGAAGGGCAAGAAAAGACTGTTATGGGACTAAACGGCTTCTTAGCAATGCATTACACAAAGGGGAATGATAAAGGTGAACAGATGTCAGTAATCCAAGTGTGAACCAGGTGCAGAGTTATGCCAGTGCACTCAAACAATTATGCATATTATTGTGAGGTCTTATGCCTGCAATCGTAAAACAACTTTCCTGGGAGTAAGCCCCACTAAAAAAAATGGGACTCACTTCCGAGTGGGCCTTATTAAGTTTGTTCTCTGTGTGCATCACTTCCTAATTAAGGACATTTTGGGATGCAGAAACTTTATGGGTTATTAATCAGCATGTCGATTATCAGTTATTTTTAGTTCTACAGTTCCACTTATGGGGATGAGCCCTCTTATGTTCGCTTTCTGTTGATCTCTTATTTTGAATTTTGATGTAATTTGGCTCTTTAATGGTAACAGGGTGCAGACCCTTGATGTACCTCACGTGAAAGGGCACAGGATGGACCAAGAACTGGTAGTGTCTCCACTTCCTTGTAGCTTCCAAGTTGGCAGCAGTACTGTGTTCGCAGATCCCATTTACACAGTGCATTTATGTACTACCAGTTCTCACAGGATATTTCACCACTAAGGAGATGGTGCTCAGGGAGGCCAGCCAGTTCTCACACTCCACGCTTCAGACCACATGTGAATATTTCCATTAGCATCTATATACTGACCTACTATTCTTTTAAAATGGGCTATGTACTAAATATGTTTGCCAAAGGCACACATCCCTTTATTTAGAAAAGGTGCCTGTTTGCTCTGTGTTATACAATTGCTATAGTTATTGTGAGGTATTTTTTTAAGTCACTACAAATGCTCTTACAATGCACAGATTCCTCCCACCCCCAGTTTAATCTGCATCTAGGGGAAGGCCTTTGCACTTTGGTAAATCATGTCCTACTAACCTCCCTTTGCTCCTTTAAGAAAACCCCAGAATCTAATATAGTGCCCTCCAGACTGTTCTCCACAAGGTTACATCCCCATGGATCCTTTGTGTGGAGGGAGGAAGCAGCAAGATTTGGCAGTGCTTTGGCCTCCTGAAAGCTATCAACTGTGGAACATCTTGTTGAATGGCATCTCCTCTTATTATGCATGGCTAACTCTGGTTTATTGGCACCATGGAACAGTTCATGCCTGTCAGCTGAACTTTTGTATATTTTTCATTTTCTCCCACAAATCCAGTGTTGACAGAACCTCCCTAGGATTATGCTATGAAATACCTTTGTACTCTCTCCCATTATACATTAACATGTTAACAATGGATTCAAAATTAAAACAGAAGACTTGGGGGGGGGGCGGCAGAATGAAGCACTATCATCAACCTGCAGTTTGCCAACTTTTTATGCCAACGAAGACTAGGAAATTGGACCTCGGATTCTTTTACAGTAAACTGGTCCAGTGTGAAATCACAGATATTTTAAAAAAATATTCCATTCTATATCAAAATGAGGCACATGCCTTTTCTTTACACATGAAGAGAAGAGCAACAAGACACAGTAATGGCTGCCTGCCTCAATGGTTGGTTCCTCTCTGGTCTTTGAACAGATAGCATCATTCATTGGTGACTTCGGAGGTCTGATCTGGGAATTTGGCTGTAATCATGGGAAATAGTGACATCACAATTGGGTCAGTTGCTGTGGAAGGAACAAAACCTCTCATCTGTATTGCTTTAAAATGTACACAGTAAATATGTATATTTAAAAAAAATACAATAATACATTAATCTTTGTAGTGTCGAACCAACTAGAAGGTATGTATGATGCAAGGCTTTAGCAAATGAGATCTATAGATACAAATTTCACTGCAGAGTATGTAGTAGACAAATGTGTCTCTTTTTTCTTTAAATATGTAAATCCTACACTGTAGGGTTTCTTTTTTCCTTTTTTTTTTGAATGGTAGAAAATGTTTTGATCATTTGTCCATGAACATGAGCCGACAATTCGTTACTGAGATCCCCAGAATGCCAAAAAATTTGCAATGCAAACAATTAGTACTGTATACCAACTCTGCAAAAAGCCCTAACACACACTCAGCCCCAAAAGAAGAGGCGTTGCTGTACAACCTCAGATAGTCTTCCTGGTCTCTGTGTACCATTTGACACCATGGCAGCCACATGAAGCTGCCTTTAACCTGGCAATTCCTACATGCCAGGCTCATTGAATTGGTTAGAATGCCACAGGAGAGAGAAAGAAATAATAACGCTAGCAGAATAACCATCAAATCATTTTCATATTAAACCTGCGTGGTCCGGGAACCTCCCCTTCCACCACTGCACCATTGTTTTTACGGGGGACATACTCAAGGTCAATGTTGGTTTTATGCTTGCCTTTCCCTCGACTCCACACAAAAAGAAGTAAGAAACAAAATAAAACCACCCCAAGGAATGTAAAACAGCCCATGGCTGTTGACACCAGTATTGTCTTGAGGTCAAGGGAAAATGTATTCACATTGGTTCCATTGGAACTGGTGTCATTGGAGTCTGTCATGAACATGGAAGTCCTGTTAGCATAAAGGAACCGATCTGAGGCAAATCCTTTGACAGTAAGGGTGGCTGCATAGGTGTCATTCCCAGCAGCATTGCTTGCAATGCAAACATAGGTCCCGCTGTCTTGATCTTGAGCAAATCGTATCTCCAGTGTGCCATCTCCCAGCACTGTAGCTCTTCCATTGGATTTCATGGTGACCAGTCTCCGCCGTGGAGTCACCCAGGAGATGGTTGGCTGAGGATCACCATCTGCATTGCACATGAGCTGTACCGTCTGCCCTTCATCCACCATCAAGTATTGCAGCTTCTTGTCTTGGATCCTGGGCTTCTTGCAAGTGAAGTAGAAAGAAAGGGCAGTGCTGTGGAAGTCCTTGAATGGCCTCTCCTTGACACTGTCAGGGCCAGCGCACATTGGCTGCTGGCTGCCAAACTGCAGCATGGGCTGCCTTTGTAATATCCAAAGGAGGCGGCAGTCACAAGCCAGAGGATTGTTGTTTATGGAGAGGATTTCCAGGGCTTTGGTGGAATGGAACACATTCTCTTCTATAGTTTCTAACAAGTTTTGGGACACATTGAGCACACGCAGGAACCGGAGCCCTTGGAAAGCATGGGGTTCAATGGTACGCAACTGGGCTCCAACTATATGAAGCTCCTGCAGCCGCACCAGTTCCGCAAGCATGCCTGACTCAATGGTGCTGATGGGGTTGTAGGAGAGGTTCAGGTGCGTTAGGTAAACCAGTTGCTTCAGAGCAGAATAAGGTATTGCGGACAAGTTGGTGTTGGTGATGGAGAGAAAAGTGAGGTTCAGGCCATACAAGCTGTTGCTAGGCATCACGTCCAGCATAGGCCAATAATCAATCTCTAAGTTTTTCAGGCGGAACAATCTCTTAAAGGCATACGCAGGCAAAAGGTTAATACTGAGATGTCTCAGGTGCAGGCTGATGAGGTTGTGAAGGTGGGAGAGGGCTTCTGTTGGTACAGCTGTTAGGTTGCATTTTTCCAAACTAAGCTGCTCCAGGCTAAGCAGTCCACTAAATGCCCTGTGGGATATATATACCAGATCATTATCACCCACTTCGAGGGACTTCAGGTTGTGTAGATCCTGGAACATGTAGTCCAGCAGAATGACAATCTTGTTTTCACTGATATCAAGCTTTGTTAAGTTTGACAGCCCAGTGAATACCCCTAAAGGAACCAGCTTCAGACGGTTCCCTTTGAGTCTCAAGGAGCGCAAGTTAAACAGATTGTTAAAGGCTCCTGGCTCTACATTGGCGACGACGTTGTCACTGAGATCTATCTCCTCGAGCAGTGGGTAAGAAGTGAATTCCTCCGGGCTGATGTTTTTGAGTTTGTTCTTGCTAAGATCCAGGATTTTAGTCTCAATGGGGATGCCCTCGGGGATGGCAGTCAAGCGCCTCCGGTGACAGCTGACAGACTTGTTCTGTGCTGAACACTCACAGCGGGCTGGGCAGCCGATGGTAGAGCCCATGAAAAGTAGCAGCACAGCCAGACCTAGAAATGGCTGCCAGCATGATATGGCTGTGTGAAGCATGACTCCACTGATGTTGTCTAATCTTCTGTCACAGGCCTGCCAAGAGGGAGGGGAAAAAAGAGAGTTAATTAGGCTACGAACCTCAAATATAAGTCCACTTCATTTTCACCAAAAACAAAAGCAAAAAACCTTTAAATGTCCGGTTAGATCCATATCCTTGCTGGCACTAAAAGCTAGTATTCTTACTTGTGTAACTGGAGGTCCACCACTTCTGCAATCCCCCTCCATTTGTAGTGCTACATTCCAAGACATTCCCAAACTTCCCAGCTCTCAAAAACAGCAAGGAAGGAAGGTAGTAGACTACATCAGGAATGGGAAGGCAGGAAAATATTGTATCTGATTTTCAGAATTTATATTCTGCCTTTCTGCCCAATCAGGGTTACCAAGGAGCTCACATTTAATGGCAGAACATTATAAAACAACCATAAAGTCAATTTAAAAAGCAAATTAAAAATGCATATATCAAAACACAGACCCTGCAATTAAAACACAGGGCAGGAGAAAGAGGTTATTGAGGGAACATGAGATAAAACAACAGGGTCTTCATTTAATGGCTCAGTTGCTGCCATTAGCCTCCCCCATACTAGACTTTAAAAAAGGAGTTTGAGGAGCCACTTCAACATCTAGTTGCCTAATATGGCTTCACTTTTTTATTTACACCTTATTGCTGCTTTTTAATATATACAACACAAAACATGTAACTATCCATACTACCCTTCCCTTCCATAAAGTCACATTTTTCACTGGGTATATTGGCCATACTGGCCAGAGGTTTAGCAGTGATCTATTTATTCGCAAGATATATACCACTTACAGAACTGAGTCATTGCAGTAATAATAAATTAAGAATTCTATACGATAATACTCAGTTTAATGATGGTGTTCAAGTGTTCAAAGCACTTCATGTACATTATCATGTGTAATCCTTAAAATCAACCTGTAAAGTCGGTTAATATTACTGGGGGCAGCCTATCTGAGGACTGCAGCATATTCATTATACACATTACAACGGAACGGTCTGCTCCCCACACCCCTGGAAATTTGTGTGAGCTGGTTTAGTCTCATGATGTTCCCTGCTTAGTTAGTACTGTTTCTTATCAGAAGGGTAGACTGCATGAGCTTCATTGTTCTGAAACCGTTTCCTTCCATCCCTGTCAATAAATATAAGTGGCTTTGAGCACACCCATCTCTACTGTATGATTCTGGAAGCAGGAACCTGAACAAATACCCTAATCCTGACCTACAAGAAAAAGAGAATAATATTATAAGAATGAGAAAGGATGGCTTGCTAAGGCCATCTAGTGAGATCATGGCAACTGTGATATTTGAATTAGGGGCTTCCTGATTTGTAGCTCCATCTCTCAGCCACTACGATATTCCTTCCTTCCTCCCTCCCTCCCTTCTGCCATATAGCGTGAAGATTAAATATATTACAATATTAAATATGTATTTTATAAATTCATTAAAAAGACACATGTCAAGGACCTAAGCCTGGTTCCCCCTTAGCCACTACCTCTTGGGTAAGCAGGCAGTGCCCAGAAACATCGGTTCTCAAGGCTGAGTGTACACAAGAAACCATACCTTGACAAAATATATGAAGGTTTATTAAATGTTTTTTTAAATGATATATTATTAGACAACTCAATCTCTACAGTCCTGCAGCAAGAAAATAACAAAGCTAACTTTTCTATCTAATACTTCAGTACCTGGTATTATATGGCACACCCTTTAAACATCAAAGTCCAAGCAACAGGCTCAAGCATTTTCTACGTAGCTGCCCACGGCAATGGAGGCTGTCATAGTCAGAGCCACGTCCTGTTGAATCCCAAAGTTAGCATGGCTTCCCTCATATCTATGGCTTAGATATAGCCTTTTGCTATCTGGTATCTGGTGGTCCTTCACATCCAATCAGGGCACTTGCTTGCTGGAACCCTCTAGAAGATGATGACACCATTCCTGTCTCCCCCACTGCCATCTGGCTACAAAGTTGACCACAGGTTCCCATGATTAGCCAATTACCACATTCCTAAGTGTGGCCTTCAAAGAGATAAGGCCTGTAGAGAAATCTGCAAGATGAAGTAGGCCCACTAGTATTCGCGTTAACCCTTGGGAGGAAAGGGTGCTTAGCCTCAAAGCATAGCATAGCATATACATAAAAAAGATAAATAATAAAAACATAGAGGATGATCTAATCCAGAGGGCCCCAATCTTTTTGAGCTTGTAAACACTTTTGTAATTTGGAGAACACAGATTGGGCACTATCACAAAATGGCTGTCATAATGTTCCATCACAAAACACTGGGAGGCTGCAAGTGAAGCACTGCCGGAGGCAGCAGTTTCTGAAGATGCCTCCAGGATTCTTCCAATGAACCTCCTGCTCCAATGATATCTATGTTTTCTTTAAAAGAAACAACAACATTCTTTGTTGAAGAAGCACATGGGCACCAGGAATTGTTCCTGTAGAAAATATTACAAACCAACCTAAAACACACACACACACACACACACACACACAGAGAAATACTTGTCCAATGAACTAATGGCTCCTACCTCCATAACACTGTCAAAGTATATCTATCTATCATTCTCGCTTTGCTCATATAAAAACATCTCCCCCCCTCTCACCTGGTTGCTTGAAGCCAACCCCGCAGGGGCATCACTAAGTAGCATGCGAAGGAGCCAGGCAGGTGGGTAAGGCTTGTGCAGATTCTCTCAAGTTAAACAAAACTTTATTTCTACAAGGCACAAACTCAGGGTATTGCAAAGGTCAGAATCGAAGGACACTAAGGAAATGACTCCCTGCAGTGTCTTCATTCTGCTGCCCATGAGGGTTTAAAAAAAAAAATCCATAAAACAGTACATGGGCTTTTGGTGGTACCTGGCCCTTCATTCACTGCTTGAGCGCAACAAGGATGAGGGCATTTTCCATCATGGCCCCAACCTGGTGGAATACTTTGTCTGAAGAGACTCAAGCCCTGTGGGACCTGTCTGCATTCTGCAGGGCATGTAAGACAGAGTTATTCTACCAGGCATCCCACTAATGTAATTTTGGTGCACTCTACCACCAACACTGTTGATATTTATGCCAAAAGCGTTAGTTTGCTATGTGTTGAGTTTTAAATTGGATTTTATTGAAATTATGGTTTTATTGTTATTATTGTATTGCTATGTTGTTAACTGCCCCGAGTCCCAATTTGGGGGAGGAGTGGAATAAAAATCTAATATATAAATAAATGAATAAAATAGACAAAAAGACAGGTGCTAACTAACATACTTACAACCCAGGTTGCATCTGATTTGGGATAGTTGCAGGATTGCATCTGCAACTCTCTTTAGCATTATTCCCCTCTAATATCTATGGCAAAACATGAAATTAGTGATCTAAGGAGATCCCAGCAAGGAGTTGTCCCACCCAACAGCTCAAACCAAGAAGGAGCCCCAAACAACAGAACAGCTCTGTCATGATCTGGGCTGTGCCACCAGAGGCCTACTAGGCCCAGGGAGCCAGGTTAGCAGTAGGTGAGGCTGGGCCTACAACTCCCAGAAGCCCGTGAGAGGTTTTGGAGCCAAAATTGACCAATAGGAAAAGAGGAGGGCTTGGAATAAAAGATCTGGAGCAGCAGGAAAAGCTGTTCTTCTTTCCAGAGGGCAGAGCCAGAAGGAAGGCTACTGCAGGGAAGAGACCTTCATCCTGAAGGAAGGGTGAGTACCCTAGTGCCACTTGGAATAGTGAGCTAGAGACAGTACATATTTAGACGCGTTAGGGCATTTGATTTTTCTTTTCTTTTCACCCACTTACTGTTATTATTCTGCACCTTGTTGTTTGACCTCCAGTACAATAAATTGTTTTCCTTGTTGTACTCTGCCTGGTCCTCACACCTATTATTCAGCCAAAAGGGAGGTCTGAAGGTCTTGTGAGGGTGCTGTGGGCCTTCTTGAGGAGCCTGGAACTAGAGTGGTGGCAGCATCAGGTGACACCCCACCTGAGCTGTGACAAGCCCCCTTTTCCAGACCCCACCACACGTTATCTAGGGTCTTCAGGCAATCTGGGTGCTAAACTTTCAGGATCCAGCCCACCAGGCCTGCACTCTCCAATCAGGAGGTGTTAACATATTGAAAGTCTTGTGCATTATCCTTCCCAGCTGAAAAGGATGCTCTGTGTCTGGCAAAGAGCATCTTTCCCCCTTCTCCCTAGCCATGAAGATGCCTGAACCACTTTCCATCACCATAACTGTGAAAGCATCTCCTGCTCCCCACTGCCCCTCATCTCACTACAACTGTCAATCCCTAACTTTCATAATTTCTCCTTTTGGATGATGGTTGATATAAAGTTGAGTTCTCCTACTGAGCTCCTACCCCAACTGGGCATAAGTTATGGTAATTTCTATCGTAAATAAAGTTCAACTTAATGGAATTTGTAAACACTACTTCTCCATCATTCTTGTCTGTTCCCTCTCCCCTTGGAGCATGGATCTATCCTTTTTAGATTATAACAAGTGGGAATCCACAAGGATTTGTGGAAGGCATCTCATTTCCCCCTCCCCCACTATTTCCTCTTTCCTTTTATGGAAAGCCCCCATAGCATCTCTCCTTTTCCTGCTCCCTTCTCTTCTTCTAGTGTTGCTAACCTTCAGGTGGGGCCTTGAGATATCCTGGAGTCACAACAGATCTCCCAACTACAGAGATCAGTTTCCACTTAGGGTTGCCAGCTCCAGATTTGGAAATTACTAGAGATTTGGGATGAAGCCTTGGGAGGGAAGCAACCTCAGCATGGTATAATACCACACCTCCACCCTCCATGGTAACCATTTTCTCCAGGGGAACTGATCTGTGTCATCTGGAGAGCAGCTATAATTCCAGGTGATCTCCACCCCACACTTGGAGGTTTGCAACCCTAGTTCCCCTGGAGGAAGTGGCTGCTTTGTAGGGTGGAGTCTGTGGCATTCTCTCCTTTCTCTCCTCAAACATCACCAGCCTGCTACTCTCTATGAATTTCCTAA